AAATCCTGGGCTCAAGCGATCCTCCTGCCTCAGCCTCCCGGTAGCTGGGCTACAGGCATGGCGCACCACGGCCCGCTAATTTTTTCTATATATATTAGTTGGCCAATTAATTTTCTTGTATTTATAGTAGAGACGGGGTCTCACTCTTGCTCAGGCTGGTCTCAAACTCCTGACCTCGAGCAATCCTCCCGCCTCGGCCTCTCAGAGTGCTGGGATCACAGGAGTGAGCCACCACGCCCGGCACTGTGCTGGGATTTAAGGTGCTCGACTCCCTCAACTCTTTGTCACTGTTTCCTAGGTGGAGAAGCCAGGCTCAGAGAGGCGCCCGGGGACCCACAGGCAGCAAACCACGGTTATGTTTACCGTTACCAGCGCTAGCTATTTGATAACAAGGGCGATATTAGTCACGCGAGAAGCTAATGGAGGGGGCTTCCCTCCCACTCACCTGAGCACCCGGAGGCACGAGCCCGGGAGGACCGGGCGCCGCCCCCTCGGGGTCACGCCCGTCAGTCACCCTTGGCGAGGCTTCGTGCTGGCCCTGGAGACGAATCCTGCAGGACGAGAAAGGTCGGCTGCTGAGCGTGCGTCTGCACGGTGGCCACCAGAGGGCGCCACGGGACAGCACATGCCCACACGCTGCTCAGGCCGCGAGGACATTCCTCCACCCCCAGCTCTTCCCCGCACGTGTCAGCAAGGCTGCTGCCCTTAGTAGACACCAGCACAGAAGTGAAATGCGTGACCGTACGTAGTGATTTGTGCTACGACGGCAAAGAGCCGCAGGGGGAGGACGGACGGACCGGGGTGGACATCCTAGAGGAGCAGCAGTCAGGACAGGGCCCCTGAGGGAGGTATGGTCTGCGCAACAGGACGTGCAAAGGCCCTGGGGCAGCGAGTTCTGGTCTGTTTGACGTTGGTGTGGGGCTAGAGCCAGTTAACGCCACAGAACGCTGGGCGCTGAGAGCTGCAGGATCCGTCCCGCTGGGCCCACCGGGCTCAGGAAGGTGCTGAGGGGCGAAGGTACGAAGGGTCCCTGGGCTCAGTGGGGCGGAGACTCGTCTAACCCTGGTCTCTCGAAGCATGGGCTGGCCGTTGACCCAAAGCCCGGGAGCAAAGCAGACAGGCTCCCCAAGACAGCGACTTCCGAGGCGTGTCCCTCTGGGGCGGGGGAGGGGTTCTCAGGCGGGAGTGCTGAGGACAGGAGGGGTCTGCACACGGCCCGCCTCTGGTCTCCGCCTGGGTGCCGCCGGGCCATCTGCAGCACCAGAGGGGACAGCCGCCCTCTGGGTGGCCTGGAAGGCTGGCTGTGGCCCCGCCCCATGGAGCTCTGGGGACGCCCCCACCCTCACTGCTGTCCCCGCTGTTCAGCCCCTGCTCCGACAAGCCAGGGCCCCCCCAGCAAGGCCTGGAGGAGGAGCCGGGCCTGGGGGCAAAGGGCCCGCACAGCTACACGTGCAGGGGTGAGGCGGCCCGACTCCAGCGGGTGGGGCAGCCGGGGCTCCCTCTGCCCCTCCTCCCCTGCCCGTCCGGTGTGATGAGTGGGGGCTGGGACTGGCCCCCACCCCCACGCACCCTCCCTCCCTGCCCCGAGCTCCAGCCCAGTTAAGTGCCGCGTCTCCGCAAGCCTCGGCAGTCACCCACGCACCTCGGGGAGAACTCGAGCTTGTGACGTCCCCCAGGACGCCGGTTCTCCAAGCGTGTCCCCTTCGGGACCAGCAGCCTCAGCATCACCAGGAATTTGCTAGAAATGGAAATTCTCGGGGCCCTCCCCTGACCTCCTAAATCAGCCGGCGACCTGCGTTCTAACGGCGCTCCAGGTGGAGAACCGCCACCCCGGGTCGCAGGGTTGGAGGGCGGGGCTCCCGGAGTGGGGAGCGGAAACCACCGTGGCAGAAACGGACTGGGAAGGCCGAGGGGTGGTGGCGCGAGGCAGGCGCCCGAAAAGCGCCATTACGGGATGCCAGGGGCAGGGTCCCCGCCCGCCCTGTCCACCCCGCGCTTGTGTCTTCACGCCGTGTTCAGGGTTGAGATGGTCTTGCCGTTTGTGTATGCCTGTGTTTCTTCAAACCAAATAAAAACTTAACTAAACAAAGCCGAGTCCACTTACAACAAAGCCCGCCAGGGCGAACATTTACGGTCGCCAGCAAGCGCTGCAGCCGTGGCCCGGCGCCCGCGGGCTGTAACAGGCTGCGGCTCTTGCTTTTTAAAACCACCAACGTCCTCGTGTTTGCCCTGCGCCTTTCTCTCTGCGTGGAGGTACTTTTCCACCGGCCTCCTTTTCCCCAGTAAGGCCGGAGGACGAGGGGCAGCTGGCTCCCGGGGGCGGGGACCAGACGCGGACTCGCCGCCCCAGGTCATCCTGGGCTGAGGCCGCAGGCTGGTGGCCGTGGCCCAGATCTGCCCCGATGGGGCTGATGCAATGCCCCCAGCCAGCTGCTGAGATCTGCAAGTCGGGAGGTCCCCTAGAAGTTCAGACCCACGGCTTCCCCGGCGCCAGCTCCTCGTGAACCGGTGGTCAAACCCTCAGCCACGCTCCGGCGCTGAGGCCAGGCGGGCACGGTGCGGGGACGCCAGGCTCGGTCCAGACCCTGGACCCTCTGGAGCCACTGCCTTTTTTTTTTCTTTCTTAAACTTTTCAATTTAGAAATGACCAGCGTACATTTTGAGCGGGCAGTACATACGCAGGGCCCGGAGTGCCAAACGTCCCACAGGTGCACGGTCCAAGCACAGCCACGCCGACAGGCCCGTGTGTGCACATGCACACGTGCACCCATGCCCACGGGTATGTCAGGCGTGTCTGTGTGTGTCACAGAAACGTAGCCCACTGCTGTTGTACTCCTGACATCAACACATCAGAGGACGAGGCCCGCCCCCTGCACCGCCGCCTGCCGCTCTGCCGTGTGGCCGAGCCATACCTACTGAGACGGGCCAGCCCCGCCCACCCCCACACCGGGGCTGGCCAAAGCTCAGAACTGTCCTCTGGGCCGGGCGCGGTGGCTCACGCCTGTCATCCTAGCACTCTGGGAGGCCGAGGCGGGAGGATCGCTCGAGGTCAGGAGTTCGAGACCAGCCTGAGCAAGAGCGAGACCCCGTCTCCACTAAAAATAGAAAGAAATTAATTGGCCAACTACAAACATATAGAACAAATTAGCCAGGCGTGGTGGCGCATGCCTGTAGTCCCAGCTACTGGGGAGGCTGAGGCAGGAGGATCACTTGAGCCCAAGAGTTGGAGGTTGCTGTGAGGAGGTTGACGCCACGGTACTCATGCTAGCCCAGGCAACAGAGTGTCTCTTAAAAAAAAAAGAACTGTCCTCTGTTCTCCGGCTCAAACTTCCCAGGGCCAGCACCTTGCAGGTTTTTGTTTTTTTTTTTAATTTAGACACAGGATCTCATTATGCCGGCTAGATGCTTCCAACTCCTGGGCTCAAGCAATCCTCCAGCCTCAGCCTCCTGAGTAGCTGGGGCTCTAGGCATGCACCACTGCACCTGGCTGGGGCCTTCTTTGTTTTCCCAACACTTTTCCCAACACTTGTACTTTGTAGACTTGGAGTAGATGCTTATTAATTGAAGGAAAGATAAAAGAAATGCCTACTTCTCACTCAACGTTTAAGGCCTGGCTCAGAGACTACCTCCTCCAGGAAGCCTTCCATGGTCACCCCAGGCAGGGTTAGGTCCCCTCCTTAGTCTCTGAAGGCCCTGCACCCTCACCGCAGCGCCCATGCCCCTGCGTGTGACTGACGGGGGCTGTGTCACTCTCTGTCCCCAGACTGGCCTCCAACCCCCCTGGCATTGCCGCCAGCACAGTTGGTGAGTGAATAATAATGAACACTTGCCCAGCACGCGAGAGGGAACGTGGGTGGCCACGTCACCAGCTATGCTGGTGCTCACCTGTGACAGCGGGTGGGGAGGCCTCTGCGAGGGTCCGCATCTCCCCTGAGGCCACACGGCCCCCGTGCGGGGGAGCAGGCGGCCCCACCACAGTCTTGGTCCCCCGCCGTGTGCAGGGCTGGAAGGTGACACACGAGTGCAAAGATGCGAGGGACCAGGCCGGGCGCGGTGGCTCACGCCTGTCACCCTAGCTCTCTGGGAGGCCGAGGCAGGCGGATTGCTCAAGGTCAGGAGTTCAAAACCAGCCTGAGCAAGAGCGAGACCCCGTCTCTACTATAAACAGAAATTAATTGGCCAGCTAAAAATATATAGAAAAAATTAGCCGGGCATGGTGGCGCCTGCCTGTAGTCCCAGCTACTGGGGAGGCTGAGGC